GAGAGAGAGAGAGAGAGAGAGAGAGAGAGAGAGAGAGAGAGAGAGAGAGAGAGAGAGAGAGAGGCCAAAGTTAGGAAAAATCAGGGCTGTTCATGATGGATGCTATTTGCTAAATGCTTGTCTGCATATCTTGCAGGTCTGGTCTTCTTGGTAGAACTAAGTATGAGTTTGCAAAGAATTATTGTAAAGTGCAAGTCTGCAACGAGCAACGTAGGTCTAAGGTGAGTGCTCTCCTTTGAAGCGTGCGATGCGGTATTCCACCACCTGATGCTCATCTGGCAAACCTTGTCATTCTCTCCCATGCCCTCAACCACCACGGGGCCATACGAAGTTGTAAACTGCTCTGTCTCTCCCTCTTTCTCTCCCTCTCTCTCTCTCTCTCTCTCTCTCTCTCTCTCTCTCTCTCTCTCTCTCTCTCTCTCTCTCTTTTTCTCCCCCCCCCCCCCCCCCCCCCCCCCCCTCGCTCTTTCCGCCTCTCTCTCTTGGCAAACCCCGCCCAAAAACCTGCGAGCTCTGACTCAGTCTCTAGGTCGCAGGGTCATTCTAAATTAATACGGGCATAGGCGAGGGTATGAGAAATGCTCTCAGTTTAGAGGACTGATAACTGGCAGGATTTCCGGGCCAAGAGGGCCTGGATATCAGTAAGGCTTGGATCTTGGTACTACGGGCCTGGATCTCAGTAAGGCTTGGATCTTCGTACTCCAGGCCTGGATCTCGATACCCTGGGGCTGGCTGTCGGTACCCCAGGCCGGGATCTCGGTACCCTAGGCCTGGATCTCAGTATGCCTTGGTGGGCAACGGCTGGCGCCCGCCTCGAGGTATCAGTTGTCGCAACTTGTCGGTGAACTGTTGGTGCCTACCTGCAGCTGGAGTAAAGGTTGGTTATCGCTTACAATATCAGGAATGAGGGAACTCTGCAGTCTGTTGGCGTTTCAGCCTCCTGATGAGTCTGTGAAAGGCTGATGAAAATGTCTGCGAGCCTTAGTGCCAGGACTCTGGCATTTGGGTCCAATCGGCCGAATGCGGCTCACGGAATGGTGGCGTTAGTATTATTCAGTTCAGATACACCCCCTCAGCCATTCTTCTGCTTCTTCCTCTTCTTCTTTTTACTTCTTCCTTTCTTCTTTTCCTTGTTCTTCTTACTTCTTCTTCTTCTTCTTCTTCTTCTTCTTCTTCTTCTTCTTCTTCTTCTTCTTCTTCTTCTTCTTCTTCTTTCTTCTTCGTCCCCATACCTGTCCTCCTCCTCCTCCTGCTGCTGCTCTTCCTCTTCTTACTCTTTGTTCGGGATTGCTTCTTCTTTCTTCTTCTCCGTCCTTGTCCCTGTCCTCATCCTGCTGCTGCTGCTCTTCCTCTTTTTACTCTTCGTTCGGGATTTGCTCTTTACGTTATTGTATCAATCTGATTACATCGGGCTTTAAACTGATGATCTGTGTACTAACGTATGTGTACCATTCGGCCACATGGGCTGGGTGCTTTCATTCACCTCATTGTTTGTCTTGATAATGAATGCTGTTCTGGCTAGCGGCACTGAATTGTCTTTGTATTTTGCTGATGTCCGATTGATGACAGGATTATTCCAAAGGGTGCCGGCTTAGGGAGCTGCACATCCTCTTGTCGGAAGCTGTCATGGTGAGGGCATCGCAGAATCTATAGGCCCTGAACTGTGTGTACGTTAGGCTCCTCAGATTCTGAGCACGTGATAAAGCACGACTACGGTACGGCTGCTGGGACTGTTTTCTTTTATTATTATTGTAATCTTATTATTTAAACTAACCTATATTCTTCTCTCTTTTTTTTTTTTTTTTTTTTTTTTTTTTTTTTTTTTTCTTAAACAAAACAGGGCCTTATGGTCCTGGCTCCTTCTATTCTGGGGAGCGTCAGTCCGGTTCCTATTTCACCGGCAAGTCAATGTACAATACAACCATTCACTCACGCTTCCTTCCGTTCGGCCGAAGGAACCCTGGACAGCATTGATTGCTCCACCTTGGTGGAGGATTGACTGCCAGCTTGGCACCCCCCTCTCTTCCCTCTCAGACCTACCGTCTGGGTCTGCCAGATATTTCTATGTAGGCTAGGAAGAGCTCAACCTATTGTCCCGTGCCTTCTCCCTGTCCCTGTGTGAGGTGTCCTCAGACCCTATTAGTCGCCCTTGTCGTTCTTTAAACACTCCCTGGCCCCTAAACCCTAAACCCTCTGGTGTATGCCTAGAGCTTCATCCTTTTAAATCCAGTCACCCTTGTTATCATCGATGTATGGACTAAACTCTTGTAACCCTTTCTCTTCCTTTCTCGAAACTGTATCTTGGAGCCGCTATCTTGCCATCTTGCCATCTACTAGGTACCTCCACCCTTAAACCCTAAACCCTCGTTTCCTAAATGTCCTGTTTCCCTTCTCCTTTCTCCGAGTGAACCTCTGAATTATATCCCGTCATCATCAGTCATACTTTCCGGCCTCGATTAACCTTCCCGCGAACTGATGTGTCCTTCCTTCCACTGGCTGCTATCCTCCCGTGATTTTGCAGCTTTAGCTATTGGACCTCTTCACCTTGCCCCCTCTGGAGAATGTCGACTTGTTTCCTTGGTTAGGATAAACATCCGATGTTTGGYTGTGTCTTCCCTTCTTTCTGGACCGTCGTGACGTTTCCCATGCGTCATTTATCTTCGACCTGTTATCAAGAGTTTATGCTCCGTTCCTGTTCGCCATGACCCCTCTTGTGTATACCTTGTCCCCATCCTCTATTGACCCTTCTTTTTATCTGTTCCCTGCATGTGTTTGGTCTCGTTGGGATCTCCTGCTCGTATCCGAATTATGCCAGTCCTTCCAGCAGATCCGGTCGTTACACAATTCAGCGACCTTCCCTTCCAGTAACCAGAGCTTGATGAATTTATCCTTGATTTTTATCCGCTGGCTTTCATCTTCCGGTAGTGACTGCTGTAACTTTCGCCATCTGCATAGTATTTCGGCTTGCATTAGGGTCATTGTCTCTGCCCATACCTTTTCTCTTGAGTTGGCCACGCCTTCAATAGTTCTGCTGCATCTTTCTTTCCATATAATCCACAGCGTTACCTTCCCGATGAGGCCGAACCACAACCTTTCTGTTTTTTTTAGTTGGTCAGGAATGTCAGTCCAGAGTAGAAGCTGAATAGGTAGTTCGGGGAAGGGGATGTTAAAGAGGAAATCCCAAAGTGCCGACGCCCTGGCCCAGTATTCTGTTGCTTCCTTGCAGTGAATGAGACAGTGAACCAGGTCCTCCTGGATTCCATCAGGGCAGAGTGCACGTAGTTCTGAGCTAGTAGGGTCCTTTTTGTGACGTCGTATGTGGAGCCAGTGGTTGACCGGCAATGCAGCGTATGTAATTAGCCACTGAAGGCTTCGGATCTTCACCGGTCTCATGGACTTAAATTTCTTCCACGGGATGTGAGACAGTTTATCTGCCTCGTGGCCTAGTAATTTCTGCCATCTGGCTTTTATTATTGGTTCTGGATTTTTTGTTTTGACTAAGAGCTTGTAGCCAAATTTGACTGTGTAATTTTGTATGGGGGTGTGTGCTTTAATGTTTTTTTCTTTGTTCGGTCTCCATTCCCATTCCGCCGGATCAAACTCCAAATTCCTTACTGCCATGTCTGGTCTGAAGATTTGTTTGGGCCATGAGCCTATAACTCTCACTTTCCTCAGTAAGACGAAATCCATTACTGTTGTTTCCACATTTTGGTTTTCGATTGCTGACCTGCCTTGTTGTGAGAGGGTTGTCGGGAAGGAGGAGAAAACGGCTTTAGTGCTTGAACCCGGTTGCATGTGTGAAAATTGAAAGGCGCGGAGTGGGTTAGTCTCTTGCACTTTGATCCCCCATTCTCCAAATTTCCATGGGGTAGCTTCCTTCTGCAATCAGACTCGTTTTCAAACACACTTTTCATGCTTGTAAACAGCAACGCAGCATACTGGCGACATGCGCCCACTCAAAACTCAGGGATATGGCTTTCAGATACGAGTTCACTCTCAATTGGCTATGGCGACTTCAGCGCCCAAACATCTCACTGTTCACATACACTGGATCACCCTGGATATCCCATACGCTTCACTCTAACACTCGAACACACACACACCTACTACTAACTACAGCTATGGCAGCTGTCGCTGCATCTACCCTATCACTATGCTAACTCCCTCTCTCTAGCCCACTGCGTCCTCCGGGCTCATCTGCAGACCTCCCTGCACAAGTCGCTGTGGCAGCGCTTCCGCATGGCTCACGCAGGAATGAATGAATGCTGGGCGCTGCCTCTTGATTTATACTTCAGAAATTCGTTGGTCTGCCCTTTGCCATCGGCCCTTGGTGCTCACAGTCCCCCTGTGGTACTTGCTGGACTGGACTGGGACTCTCTAGACCCTTCTGCTGACTGTAGGCAGTCGTACCGTCGACTCAGTGCAGTTGCACTGAGGTCCTACCTGTTGACCTTGCCACTTGTCTTCGTCTGAAAACGTGGGCCTATCTTAGACTCACCACTTGACCACTTGCCGACCTTCTAGAAGGACTAAAGCTAGGCCTCTGGACTCTACTTGGACTCCTACCTTACAGGTCTACAGTTCGAATCTCCCTACAGCCTACAACCTACGGCGACCTACTTACCACTGGCTATCGTGCAGGTCACGGGTTCAACTCCAGGGAACTGTGCAGATACTGTACACAGGTAAGCTGAGGTCAAGGGATCGACCCCTGGGATCTGCATCGGCTACTGCCAAAGGTGAAAACTGTTTCACTTCAATATATCTTTCCAAGCCTGAGGGATACAATTGATGACGTGCAGGAGGTTAGGTCCTCGGCGATGGCAGCCCTTTAACCGGTTACTTAGCTCTTGTTCAGTCATCCAGCACTTGCCATCCTCGTTCCACAGGTAATTATTCTTCTCTCGATAGTGAAGATAGGGAGACTTTACGTTCACCCAGAAGAGCCTAAGTCAATCAATTCAATATGTAAATAGCGGATATAGATTAAATGTAAATTCTCTCCCATAACCTACCTACCTACACGCAGCTTAGCAATCCACTACAGGTTTTTTTGTGCCCAAGGCAGGAAATCTCTCCTAAGTTAAAAAGCCACATCTGCTCTGTGCGGGGAGCAGCACACAAGCTTCTAACACCAGGTGCAAGCTGGAAGGCGCAAATGGTCGCTTCCCGGACAGCCAGGAGGCCCAAGCCAATTATCTCTGCTGGATAACCCGAAGCACATCACAGGAGGCCGTGGGGATAGAATGGACGACGTGGGGAATCAAGCCCACGACCTCCTACAGAGCACTTCCGTGCTCAAACCAACTGAGCTAACCCGCTTGGGCCAAACTGTCTTCTTTTATTTTTCGCTTCCTTCTCCTATTTTTATGAAGTACTACAGTCCTACGACTGCAAACTGCAGTAAAACTGAAGCAGGTCACAGTTCCTAAACCAGGTCACACAACCAGGTCATAAAACTTAAACCAGGTCACAAAACTAAAGCAGGTTAATCCAGGTTACAAAACTAAACAATAATCCGGCCGAGTCCTTCAGTTGGACAGGGCGGACCACAGCCATCAGGGTCCGTAAAGGTCACCTTGAGGTCATTGGCTTCAGATCAGGGGGGGCTTGCTTGAGCCTAATGCAGGGCCTTTTTTTTTTTTTTTTTGAAAGCGGAAGCTCCTAGCATTACTGCATCAAACAGGATTTTCAATCTTAACAGTATTGTTGCTGTACCATGGACCCGAGAGGCCACTACAAACACACAGCCTTCATTGTCTGCTTATGCCTTGTCGGGATTCTGCAACCTCTCCACCCTAAACCCTAAACCGCAAACCGTAATCTTAAACCCGACACTGTGAACCCGGATCCTAAACACTAATTCTAAAACCTAAACCTTCAACCCTAAGCCTAAACCTTAGACACTGAACTCTAACCTCGGAAACCCTACAAACCTCAACCCTAAACTCTAACCCTTAAAGTCTAAACCCTAAACCATAAAACGGTAAATCCAAGTCCAAACCCTATACCCTAAACCCTCGCTGGATGTGTGACAGCCTACAGGTGTGTCTCCACCCTAAATCCTAAGCCTCGAGCCCTCAACAATGAAAGCCGTAAGCCCTAAACCATATACGTGAAACCCTCAAACCTCAAACATTTAGCCCTAGTTCTAAATCCTAAACCCTAAATGGGCCGGAGTCTCTCCACCCTAAACTCCTAACCATCAGCAGGGAGTTACAGACTGAAAGAGAATTCCGAAGACCCAACACCACTCATAGTGCAAAGCTGGCTAAGACCACCAGTACTGTTGACCCTTCCCCTGCCGAGCCTGGAAATGCCTTGTGCACCAAAACAAAACGAGCGGGCTGATCACTTGTTTTTTTTCATTCAGAGAATTTCAGACATATGCAAATCCCACTGGATCTGACGAGTCACTTATCATGGGTTACTGTAATTCCATTGGACTTCAGGAGGTCGTGGGTTCGATTCCTGCGGACTGCAGCGGCTCTTACTTTATCCTGCAGGCCCTGTCAATGAATGGCTAGATTACAGACGGAAAGATAGTCCTCGATGGAGGACTCCCCATTATGCAGAATGCATGATCTAAGAGTAAATAAATCTCTGTCCTTTTTCCCAGTGTCCCACTGCTTTGTTGATTGGCATCATGCGGAAGACAAAATCGAAATTGCTAAGTTGTTCCTGACTGAAACATGCCTACCAGTGTAGCTCTGATTACTGTGCCGTCTTTTGTGTGGAAGACAGGGAACATTTAATTTCAGAAGGTAACAACGTTTGGACCAGCACGACCACCATCAACAACTCTGCAGATAGGCAGCGGAATGAACTGGTAGACAAATCAGCAACTTGGATTGTGAACCAGGACTCAAATGTTGACTAGATACGTTATAGCCAGGATCATAGTGCTGGAGTGGGCTTATGGGCAAAAATATATCAACGAATGGCAAAAGTATTTTTCCAGTGCAACGATTCCCCAAGGATACTCAGTTGGTAGTCATGGGTTCGATTCTAACGGCCTCCTGCGGCGAGCTGCGGGTTCACCAGATGAGATAGTTGGCTTGGCCCACCCTGGTTGGTCTTGATAGGGGCATTTCTTCCCCATCCCAGCCATAGCCAGGGGTTAGGACTCAGGAGCCTGGGTACTGCTCCCTGCACAGAGTAGAGCTCGCTAGTGAAGTCCCGATGGTCCATTAGTGTGAGGTGGAACAAGATATTGAGGCAAAAAAAACAGGTGTCCCACGATGAGCACTGGTACATCCTTCTGGATATGGGAAGTAATCCATGCTGCTGTCTTGGGGGGGATGGATCGTAATGAAGGGCAGTGTTGTGTGTGTCATGCCCTCCCAAAAAAGGGGTCGTGATGGGGGAAGGGGTCACGGTGGGGGAAGGGGTCGCGGTGGGGGGTCGCTGGACCATAATGAGGGGCAGTGTTGTGTCCCACGATGAGCTCTGGTACATCCTTCTGGATATGGGAAGTAATCCATGCTGCTGTCTTGGGGGGACTGGACCATAATGAAGGGCAGTGTTGTGTGCCCTCCCAGAAAAGGTGTCGTGATGGGGGAAGGGGTCGCGGTGGGGGGTCGCTGGACCATAATGAGGGGCAGTGTTGTGCGTGTCATGGATGTCAGGGACACTGGGCTCGTTTTCCAGTTTTATGAATATAATGTTATTGTAAAAAACGAAATGCGGATTCAATCGGTACACCCATCAAGTGTTGAAAAACACTAACGGGTGTAGCTCACTTGGTACACCCATCCAGTGTTGAAATACAGATCTGGGTTCGGATCCAGATAGATTAGATGAATGAACTTTTCAAGTTCCCTGGGTATGGTCAGTCCCACGTTGATGTCTCAAGACCGTCGCCCTTTTTTATTAAAGAAAAAGAAAATATGGAATATGGTAGCGATTGCGGGTTGTGAGGACTTACCTGATGTTATCATTCTTCAATACACCTTAGGTACGCCGGCTGAAGGAGGACGTTTTGATGCAATTGCCGCCAAAGAGGCGTCAAGTTATCAGGTTGAGCATTGACAAGGCCGATTGTAGGCATGCAGTGGCCCGAGCAGCAGAGCTCTCAGAGCTAGTTGCCGAGAGGAAGTCACGTGGCAGGAAGTCAAAATCAAAAGATGTTGCTGTTCTGGAGGGTGCTTGTTGGTGTGGTTTTAGTCTGAAGGGGCAGTGCGATTGTGAGCCACTGGAAGACGACGGTGACAAGCAAGAGAAGGACTCTGGACATGCAGGTGGCTGCTGCTGTTGATTTTCTACCTCTCTCTCTCTCTCTCCCACTGTCATTCTCTGTGTGTGCGTGTGTGTGTGTGTGTGTGTGTGTGTGTGTGTGTGTGTGTGTGTGTGTGTGTGTGTGTGTGTGTGTGTGTGTGTTTCAAATTTTCACCACAACAGCCCCTAGTCCACCCAGATGAGCAGATC